TTCTGTCCTTCCAGATTTTTTATTATAAGCATGTCTTACTATAATCTTCATCACATTGACCCGAGTAAAAATGTGCTTTTCAGAGCTTTTTGGTTTTTGGATATGGGGGCAAGGGATGGGACACCTGCACTGCTAACAACTTGATTTTTGTTAATCCTCACCTCCATTGATTTTTAGAGAGAGTGGAAGGGATGGAGAGAGACAGAGAAACATCACTGTGAGAAAGAATCATTGACTGATTGCCTCCCACACATGCCCACCCCCTGCCCATGTCCCTCAGGCCCAGGGATTGAGCCTGCAACCCAAGTACCTGCCCTTGGCCAGAATTGAACCCAGGACCCTTCAGTCTGCAGGCCAGCATTCTATCCACTGAGCCAAACCGGCCGGGGAAGCAGAAATGTATTTCACATTGCACAAGAAATACGGGTGTGTTTTTTTAGTGCCTGCTCTGGCGGTGCTCTCTTTCCTGCTTCCTCTGCACCGCGCTGGGTCCTGTCACGGGCCACTCTCTGTCGTGTCTTCATCGCCTCCATCCTGTCCCTGAGCCAGCACCAGCTGGACCAGCAGGTGCTCAGTGGGCGTTGCTGACTGGCTTGGAGGGGGAATTGGAGGCGGGTGCTCATGGCTCATGGTCCTAGGGTGGCCCCCTCAGATGGCAGCTGCATTGAACTCAGCCTGGGCATCTCCACGTTGTGAGGAAGCAGCCTGGCGGGTCACACAGGGGCAAGGAGGCCCGTCTAGCCTCAGACTCATCAGAAGCCCTGGACCGGGGAAGCCATCTGTTCTCAGCTCCCAGCAAAGACCGGGCCAGAGGGAAGCTGGGTGCTTCTGTCCCTCCCTTCTCCCCCAGTCCCTCCCTTCTCCCCTCACCCCCACCCCCGCCGCTGCCCCTGAAGGTCTGTAAGGACGCAGAGGATGTTCTCGGTTTTTCCATAGAGGTCACTGGCTGAGTGGGCTCTATTATGTTTGGTTAGTGCTGAGACACTTCCTCTTTCGTCTGTGTCTCAGTGTCCAAGGCCACCCCCGCCCCCGCCTGCGTGGAGACTGAGAAAGGGGAATGTGGGAGGAACACTCAGAATTTCAGAGGGAGCTTCACCATGGGGACTGTCCTTCACCCGCGACTGGGGAAGTCGCCCAGGGGATCACGGCACCCCCTCAGAGGTCACCGAGGCCGCTTGACCTGCCCCTTCCTCCTCCCCTCAAGCCAACGCCTGAGCTCCCACCCAAGGAGTCCTAAATGCTGCGGAGGACTCTGGGGCCCCCAGTGCCTGTGTTGTGGGGGAGTGGCATCCTTTTGCTCATTCTGTGAGTGTACTGTATGCACTTGCACGAGAGAGACGCTCAGAGGTGCATGCATAGATGCGCACATGGGCACCAGATTGCTTTCGGAAACTGCTGGCACAGAAAACAACCTGCCGGACGCGCTATCAGAGAGCTGCAGAAGCGGCCGCGGCCCCGGAGGCCGGAGCCACTGCTCAGCGATCTGCAGCGTGATTGATGATAAGCATCTGTGTGCGCCAGTGAGCCGAAATAAAACCATAACTGTTTGTTCCGGGAAACAGCAACCGAAGTCGCAAATCATAAATAATAAAGGATAGAAAAAAAAAAAACCCTCGTTTAACCTAATGGACTGAACGGCTTCTTGCTTTGTATTTCTGCTAATGGCCCCTCTGCCCTGGCACTGCCGGAGCTGGCCCATTGCGGGCACATGGAGCCTCCGTGTGCAAAGCAGGACGTGGTCCAAAAGAGCATTTGTGAGGCGCTTGTTTGGAGCCTGTGTTTTCCCTGGAAACCATCTTTCCAGGGTGACCCGTTCTCAGGTTCACTGCATGGCGCCACTTAACCCCCACTGTCCCTGGTCGCTGGGCCTTGAGGGCAGGAGGGAGAAAGCCAGCCAACTCTCGCTGTCCACCCACAGCCCTGGCTCTGAGCACCATCTAAATGTAAGTTAACTTCCTTTTCCGTCTGCCACCTCCCTGGTGGCATTCAGGTCCCTGTGCCCTAACCTGCACGCAGCACCCTCCCCGTTCTCTGGGCCGCTCTGCTGGGGGACGCTGGACCACAAATTCCCCACCTGTCCCCACTTCCTGACCAAGCAGACTACCATTTCCTCCGTTCAGCTGGTACCAGGTCAGGGCTAGAGAAGCCAGCTAGCAGATACGAATTCATGCCGGCAGATGCGTGACTGAGACCGCCCCCCTCTATTTTCTCACATTAAAACAGGTTGGCTGTGACCCTTGGGAGTCATGGTGGGCAGTAAGGTCGAGGGGGTGTGGAAAGGGGGTTAAAAGTGCAGAATCTCCGCACACTCATGAGTGGGGCTACTCACACCGCCGGCTCCCAGAGCACTGGCAGTTGGTTAGGAAAGAATCCTTCCTTGGAACAAACAGGATGGTCACAGGTTCAGACGCCGGGTACTCAATCTCCGCTCAGCGATTCAGCTGGCTCTCTGGCCGCCTCCGAGAAACCCCACCGTGGATACGCCACTCTCATGCACACAGAGCCATCAGCCAGCGTTTTGTGCCTCATGATGAAATCTCAACAGATAGCTAAGGGTCACCAGATGTTTGTGGAAAGTTCTAACATGGCGGGTGGCGGGGGAGGAGGGGAGAGGAAGCATAACAAAGAGCAGAACAAAACGTTAAAAGTAGCATATTAATATCCACAGAGAGCCAAGAAAAGATACCTTACCCATGAAAGGAGAAAGGCTGCAAAATAAACAATCAGAACAAGAAAGGGCTTTTGGCTATTGGAGACTACATACAATGTTTGAAAATAAACATTCAAAAGAAAAGGAAGAAATAGTTGATGAAAACTTCAGAAAATAGTGCAAAATGACATATGGAAACTATGAGAGATAAAAGAAATAAGAAACTCCATATCCAGCAATAAATAAATAAATAAATAAATAAATAAACAAATAAATAAAGGAAGGAAGGAAGGAAACTGTAAATAAATATTATGAGAAAAATTCTTAGAATGGGAGGGTCTCAAGATTGAAGGGCCCACTGAGTGAGCAACAAAATGAATGGGGAAAAGGCCCAGACCAGGGCACATCTTTAAAAAAACATATAAACGTTAAAAATCTCAGAGTTCTTCTGAACTCTAAGGATAAAGGGAAGTCCCTGAGATCTTCCTTAAAAAAGCAGGTAACATACAAAGGATTAGGAAACAAAAATAGCATTATTAGAAGTGAGAAGAAAATGAAACAAACTCTTCATAATTTTGAGGGAAAAAGATTATCAACATAAAATTCCATACCAATCCAGGGAAACTCTCAAGTATGAGGGTAGAATAAAACTATTTTCACATATGCAAGATTTCACAATATTTGTCTCTATGTATCTTTATTTCGAGGCTGAGAGGTAAGAAGTGAGGACCAGGGAGGAAACAGTGGGTCTCCCTTAAGGTGAAGGTCTTGGAAGAGAATCCAATGGAATAGGGCTCCCTTTGTAGAAAGTGGCTCCGAGGAACTGAATGGCGTGCATGGGACAAAGCTGGGGAAGAACGGACTGAGCTGGACAGAAAGGAGGGTCTGGGGGAGGCGGGTCTTGTTTGGAGGTTGGGGGGAGAGGGGGCATGTGGTCACGGTTTGTCCTTGGCAGCACAGCCTGACCATCCACCATGCCCTCACGATAGATGGCCACTGGGATGTACAGGGGCTGCGGACCGGCGGGTCCTCTGCTTTGATACTCTAACTTCCAGGGCTGCGGGGAGCCTCGGGGACCAGGGCTCTCCTCTCCTCTTCCCCATGCGCCCCGCGAGGCCCAGGAGGTTAAGGGGCCTCCTCCCCAAGGCCACACAGCTACTTCCGTCCTGACGTCCACCCCCAGGCTCGCGGGGCGCAGGGAGACACCGCGGGACGCCTGCCCGGGTGCAGAGAAGCCCTGCGGGCGTCATGGGCTCGGACGCCGCCTCCGCGCCGTCCGCCCGCCCTGGGCGCTGCACCTGCTCCGCGTCGCGGTTGCGGCCGGCGCTTCCGGGCGCCCCGCCGCTGCAGCCGCTGCACCCAGCAAAGGGAAAGTACGGGGTGACGGCGCCGGGGAGCGCGTGCGGAGGCCGTGCGTCAGCCCCCGGCCACGGCTGACTTGTTTGGGGCCAAGCTGGTTAAATTAGTCACTTTCCAAACCCGCGGCCCGCCGAGCACCTTCACACACATGCAAACCCCACAACCCCGGGGCGGCCCCAGGGGAAACCGCCCCGGTGTCCCCCCGGCCCGGCGCGGCCCTTAGGGACTGGAGGCGGCGCCCCCCCCCCCGCGAGGGCCCCGGGAGGAAAGGCGACTGCGGGGGGCTGGTCCCCCCTGGGAACCCTCTTAGGCTCCGGGCGACAAGGGCAGCAGCGCTCGGTAGGACTTGGACTGGGCGCGGGGAGACAGCTGTGCGCGAAGGGGCGTGGCGAGGGCGTGACCGGTCCAGGGGGCGTGGCCTTGCGCGAGGGAGCGGGGCCTGGTCAGAACGCAATACGCAAGCGCACAGGGCCCGCCGCGATTGGCGGGCGGGGAGCCTGGCGACGGGGAGGCCGGGCGGGTGCAGGTACGTCGGCGGCGGCGGCGGCGTCGTTCCCGGGCCCGGGACCCAGGCTGCGCCGCCGGGTTGTAGGAAGGGGGCGGTCGCGGTCGGTGCTGAGGGAAGAGGCTGTGGGCGGGGCAGCCGCGGCGGAAGCTGGGAGGACTGCGGGGGCGGAGGTGTCTCCGGGGAGGAAGGCCCGGCCTGTGCGGAGGCTCCTCTGGGAGGAAAGACGTAGCGAGAGTCCCCGGGGAACCCCCCACCGCCCCCGGTCGGGGACCCCGTCGCGCCTGCTCCTGGACGGGCTCCAGGCGGCGGTTGCTATAGGCAACCAGCTTGGTGCCAGCTTGTCCCGGTTGCCCGGGTTGTGCTGGTGTAGCGCTGGCAGGATCGCAGGCCCGCAGCCCATCGAGGCTCCACCCAGGTCCGGGAGACTTTTTAATATTGGTTTTTTTTTTGTTTTGTTTTGTTTTTTAAACTCTGCCTGTTTGATATTAGGGTGAAGGCACCCCGCACACTTTCCCGACCAAGCCCTAACATGTAAACACTCCAATGGAAAGTGTTCCTGAAGGTAGGAAAAATACAGGAGGGCACATCTTGCTTCATATTTTGTCCAATTTCAGCGCAGCTGTGGGGCGGTGAGGGTGATTCCGTGCTCTGATCAGAGAGCTTTGACACTAGAGACCAGTTTGGGAATGTCTCCCACACTCTAAAACCCCGGGGTTCAGATACCCGGCCACAACAGCCATGAACTTAAATCAGTTGTCTGTAAGCTGGAATAATCTACAGATAGAAAATATAGTAGGTTGCAGACATAAATGTCCCATTTTTTCCTGTCCTAACTCACAAAGCCTCGTGGTGGAACCGCTGTTTGCCCCATTCAAAGGGAAGCATGGAAGCTCTACCTTAAAACGGGATGTGACCAGGAGAGACCTGTCACTGTGAGTCTGGCTTCTGTCTGTCACTGACGTCTTCCCCAGGGTGACGTGACCTCCTGACCATAACCTTAAGTGGCTGCGGTTCAGGTACAGAACTGGCCGTTCTTACGTTGCTTCTCTGGACGTGGACCCCTTTGAGTCACGATGGGAAGGATGAGTATTTCTCATGTGGCCTTAATGAGTCAACTCACAATATCACTGCTGTTACTACCCAGATGACAGAAGGAAACTAGCCTCCAGTTTTTATAATGGGGTCAGGTTCCATAAGAGATGGAGAAATGATTTTTTTTTTTCCTGCTTTGTCAGATACCCTCCCCAAGAACTAGACTGAAAATGGGGAAAGCAAACTGTACTTTTTTTTTTTAAATGCACCATCTGTACATTTTTTTTTAATATATTTTTTATTGATTTTATACAGAGAGGAAGGGAGAGAGACAGAGAGTTAGAAACATCGATGAGAGAGAGTCATCGATCAGCTGCCTCCTGCACACCCCCCACTGGGGATATGCCTGCAACCAAGGTACATGCCCTTGACTGGAATCGAACCTGGGACCCTTCAGTCCCCAAGCTGACGCTCTATCCATTGAGCCAAACCGGTCCCGGCAAACTGTACTTTTTTAAAAAAAATACATATATTTTATTGATTTTGTACAGAGAGGAAGGGAGAGAGATAGAGAGTTAGAAACATCGATGAGAGAGAGTTATCGATCAGCTGCCTCTTGCACACCCCCTACTGGGGATGTGCCTGCAACCAAGGTACATGCCCTTGACCGGAATCGAACCCAGGACCTTTCAGTCCCCAAGCCAACGCTCTATCCATTAAGCCAAACCGGTTTCTGCAGCAAACTGTACTTTTGTGTGGCCCCTCTAAGGCATAAATAAGTACTTTACTTTTCCAACCCCAAATTAAATCAATATTTTAAACATTTTGCTGGTTTTCCACGTAAGGCCTTCTTTTTTGGCATCTTAAAGGAGTTGTTCTTCCTGTTTCTCCACTGTCTGATCATACACTCAGTGGGAGGAGGTCCACATTGTCTCTCTGCATATCTCTTTCCATGCTCTTTTGCAGAGCTGATGACATTCAGTTTGAATTTTGCAGATCAGGACAATCTCTTACCGGTATTTATCTTTTTATTTTTTGACCTCTTTATGGGCTCAGAACATTCTGGTCCTTGTTGCATCTGCACACTCTCCACCTCCACCTCCAATTACGGCATCAGCTGACATCAGGAACAATAAGGCTTGTGATTGGAGGAAGCCTGTTTGACAAGGTATGGGCAACTACACACCTGCACGGCTCCCTCCGTGGCTGACTTCCGTGTATAAGACTCTTCTCGATTTTCAGTCTAAGAATTTTAGGGAAAAAAATAGCATCTTATACACGGAAAAATACGGTAGTCAGACATTCCATTTTGGGAGAAATTAGAGAAATTGGTATGTGGAGGATAGACAGACCGAAGTCTCTGGGATGGATATACATTTTATGTCTGTCTTCTTGGTAGATGAAAACAGTACGGCACTCGGAACAGTCGCTGAGAACAGCTCTCATCTCCAAGAACCCAGCCCTCGTGTCCCAGTATGAGAAGCTCGATGCTGCAGAGCGGCGTTTGATGAACGAAGCCTTCCGGCCCGCCAGCGATCTCTTCGGGCCCATCGTCCTGCATTCTCAGTCAGACTGGATCGCCTCCCATCCCGAGCCTCCCCAAGGCTTTGAAGAGTTTTTCAGTGATCCTTCCAGAAAGACACCCTCTAGAGAGAAACACAGTATTTACATCCAGTGCATTGGTACATACTGTCATACGCTGCCTTTGGTTTGGTTGTGCCGTGGTGCCGTTGCCAGGGGTAGTTTGGGCTGTTATCTCATTCCGTGGCGGAAGTGCTTAGCCAGACTGCCTTACAAGAAGATATTTTGGTCCTAAATCATATTGGTGTTACTGAATGATAAAGGTGTTTTGAACATTTAGATTTAATTGGTTTCTAATTCCCAATCCATAATTATTATGGACGGAGTATTTTAATCATCCTAACGTCTGTCTTTAAATTTCCTTCCGTATTATAGGATCTCTAGGAAATACCAGAATTATCAGTGAAGAATATGTGAAATGGCTCAAGGGCTACTGTGAAGCATTTTTCTATGGCCTGACAGTGAAACTCCTGGAACCGGTTCCTGTCTCTGCAACACAGTGTGCCTTTAGAGTCAACGAGAACACGAAGAACCTGCAAATACATGCAGGTGAATGAAGCAACCTCACATTTTTAATTGAGCCCAGGATGTAGAGAGAGAGATAGGTAGATAGATACAGATATAACACATGTACATATCTTTTTGACTAGGGCACATCCTGCACTTCTTAAAAAAGAAGAAACCGGAAGATGCCTTCTGCATAGTGGGAGTGACAATGATTGATCTTTACCCAAGAGACTCCTGGAATTTTGTTTTTGGGCAGGCCTCTTTGACAGATGGTATTCTTTTTTAATTACTTTATTGATTAAGGTATCACATATTTGTCCTCATCCCCCGCTTTCCCATCCCAAACCTCTCCCCATCCATGCCCCCACACCCTGTTGTCCGATGGTATTCTTTTTGGCATTGTTTGTAGAAACTTTCTGAACTTGAGAATATTGGAAGGTGCTGAAAAAAGGGGGGGAGGGGAAATTCCATTATAATTTTGATGAAAGATATTTGAGCTCTCATTAACCTCAGTGAAAATCTTGCTTAATTGTGTGTGTTTTTTAATTTTTTTGTAGTTATTTTGCATAGATGGAGTAGCCACAGATTGCTTTATAAGTGTGTGCTGGTCCTGTGTGTTATTTTATTTTAAAAGAAAATAATTTTATTTTTAAAAGTAAATTTCAGTCTGTGATTGGAGATATAGTAAACTTTGACTCATTTGATACCCTGCATGGTAAAATTGGGGGTGGGCAAGGATCCAGAAGAAAATCATATTTTTTGCCTATTTTATTTTGTCTTCACTTCTATTCAACTCATCCATTTTTTTTTTTTTTAATCTTCACTTGAGGATATATTTATTGATTTTAGAGAGAAGTAGGGGGAGAGAGAAGAAGGAAGGGAGGGAAGGAGGGAGGGAGGGAGGGAGGGAGGGAGGGAGGGAGGGAGGGAGGGAGGAAGGAAGGAAGGAAGGAAGGAAGGAAGGAAGGAAGGAAAAAAGGAAATATCGATCGGTTGCCTCCCACACATACCCTGACTGGGGATTGAATCTATAACCTAGGAATGTGCCCTGACTGGAAATTGAACCCAAACCCTCGTGGTGGTGTTTGGGACAACATTCCAACCAACTGAGCCACCCAGCCAGGTCCCTCGTGTCCATTTTTGCTCTTATTTTTCTACCCTTCTCCCCAGGCTCAGAGACCCGTTTGAAGGGGAAAGGTCCAGAGAACTAAGGGGAGTGGTTATCCATTTGTGTCTGGGGACAGTGGGCATGCACCAGGACTGTACTTTATGATACCAAGTGTATGGACTGTCTGGATCACATATCAATATTAGCCTCCCTCTGACAAATGTTTCTATAGCTCCTCTTAACGTCAGAGGTAGGGGCCCAGGGCACTACTTCTTCATCCTCAATTCTCTGTTATCTTATGGCCCCCACTCTCCCCATGACCCTTCCGATACACTCTCTTGGAGACTTGGGTCACTGCTGTGTTCCTGAGTGGTGCTGCCTTCCTATCAAAAATGAACTTGTACGAGCTAAATTGTTTTCTCTCCTTTTATTTTTAACCTGGTAGAGAAGGAAATTTAAAAAAAAAAAAATTAAAACTATTTATGTAGATTCTGGAGGCCTGATGCACGAAATTTGTGCAAGGGGCTCGGCCTGCCTTGGCCCTTGCCGTGTCTGCCCTGGCTTCGTCTGGATGGTCTTCCGGTTGTCTGGTCTCATTAGCGTATTACGCTTTTATGATTATAGATTGCTGGCTAATTTATCTTGTACATTTGAGGAGGTCAGGAGGCATTCCTCCAAAATGCTTCTACTTTAATTTTCTTCAGTTTCATAAACATTGTGTCACATACAAGAAATAGTAGCAAGCTAGAGCATTGACCTGCCAAGTTTATCAAGTGACGCTATTCTCTCCAGGTTTACAAAGATTTGTGCTTTTAAACTGAGACATTTTTAATTATAAAGAAAACGGCCTTCTGTCTGTAGAATCATTAGGAAGCATGCCTCCGAAATGTTCTCACTAAAGGTATTGCAGTAAAACACACCCACGCTTATTGGCCAGAGGAGGTTACTGTGACACATGAGTAGATCCAGTTTTCTTAAACTTCCAGAATGTTTTCTTCTCCCCTAAATTTCAAATACCAGTGGACACGTTCCAAAAGAGATTCTTTCTGAATCGAGTTGGATCGGACAAACTTACTATGAAATCATTTCCGTAACAAAAAGGCTCCTCATGACTTTCAAATAAGAGCTGGAAGAGAGGCCTACATGAAAGTGGGAATGTAAACAAGCCGGATTACAAGGCAGTCCTCGTTAGAATGAGTTGAAAACCATCCTCCGTCCTCCATGTGTGTGGAGATGGTTGAGACAAGCCTAAGACCTAACACAGGAAGTCGGCTACAAGAAGGTTTATTCTGGTCCTCTGACTCCGGCCACGGAATAAAGTGGTGCTGTGCTTGAGGGGGAGGAGGGGCAGAGGTTGTCTGTCTGTCTGTGTCTAAAGGCCCTGGCATGGCCTCCACGGCCTCAGGGGCGGGGCCTGAGGGAAGGAAAGGCCCCCTCACGGACACATAGGTCATGGAGATCTGTTTATTGTGGGGTTTAAAAAATAAATTTAAATATATATATATATTGATTTCAGAGAAGGATGGAGAGGGAGAGAGAGATGGAAATATCAATGAAGAGAAAGCCATTGATCAGCTGCCTTCTGCACGCCCCACACTGGGGATCGAGCCCGCAGCCTGGGCCTGTGTTCTGACTGGGAATCGAACCTGACCTCCTGGTTCATGGGTCCATGCTCAACCACTGAGCCATGCTGGCTGGGCTTTTTATCGTGTTCTTAAAGAGAAAAATCATGAGCGTGTGCTGTTCATGTGATCATTTTCATTGCTTTTTCTGGAGTACTTGATTTGGACTCTTCTTTGAGAAAAAGACTTCTTTTGTGGGAAAACCAAACCCTCCATAACTTCCATTTTGTCAAGAATTTGACCTCAAGACAGGACACATTGGATAGTAGAAGAGTTTTGAGAGGAAAATCTGGGGCAGAGTCCTTTGTCCTGGCAAAACGGAAGCCTATTGGACTCTGTGAAGGCAGGGGTACAGTCAGACACACACTCCCTGTCCGGGCCCCTTCGGGGATCTTACTGTCCTCCTGCTGTCGCTTGTCCTCTCTCCGTAGGCGTGGGGATCTTCAGCTTTGCCAGGTATGGCGGTGACTTTTACAGCTCCAGCTACGAAGGCAAGGTGAAGGCGCCGCAGAGGCCATCTTCGCGTGACTATTCAGCGTTTGACAGCTATTATACTCCCGACGTGACAAGTGTTTTGCTGCTTCGGTCCTGCAAGGTGAGTTGTTGACAGAACCTAACAGGATTATAAGTAAAGAGAGGTCTTAACACCCTCCACTGCACATCCATGCTCCTCAAGGTAATATCATCAGTGAGCATGTATCACTTGTCTACTTTTGGTGGCTGTTGCTTGGCTGAAATAATGGATACCTTAATATTGAAATGTACAGTATCTGCCCCTGTTTTGTCCTATTATTTATACGCAGCCTTGGCTGCGCCCACGTCCTCACCAGTAGTTTAATTCCGGGATTGTGTGTGAGTAGGTAGCCCATCCAGGGAAGCTGCCTCCTGGGGCCTGAGGTTAAGGAGGAGGGCCTTGCTCTTGGTCTCCAGGCTCCCTCCTGCTGACAGTCCCTGATGTCTTCCCCCCAGCCCCTCCCGCTCCTGGGAAAGCCTTCTCCCTCCTCCATAGCCGGGGGCCTAGGCTTCTCTGCTAACACCAGTCCTCTCTGTGGGGTTTGAGACCATCGCCTCGCAGAGCCGTGTCTGCAGGGAACATTCCCTGCACCGGCATCACCTCCTGTGCTTGTTAACGTGCAGGTCAGACCCACTGACACAGCATCTCCGGGGGAAGGGCTCCAGGCTCTAAATTAGGGGTGTCGAACTCAATCAGAGAAGGGGCCAAAATCTAAAATCCAGCCTAAATCGCGGGCCGAATGGTTTACTGAACAGTCATAAACTGTCATTGTGATGGAAACGCAGCGGAGTGCAGTGATGACAGCGCGGTGCGGGCCACATTGCAAGGCCTGGCGGGACGGATTTGGCCCGCGGGCCTTGTGTTTGACACATGTGCTCTAAATGGTTACCCAGGCTCTCACCCAGCGGCAGTCCCCACCAGGGATCTTTTGGCTGACACAGCTGGGGAGTGGGTGCTACTGGCAGCTATTAGGGAGAGGCCTGGGGTGCTGCTAAGCATCCTTCAGGGCACGGGAGAGCCTTCTTCCCACAAGAGTATCCCCACCCATGTCAGTGGTGTGGAAATCGAGAAGCCCGGGTCCGGGAATTAAGTGGGTAAGTGTAGTGAGGAAAGCAGGAAGACATTAAATGAAACCGGGGTTAAGTCTTGGGCAGATGGAAGTTTTGGGGATGGTGGTGAGGGAGTTGACTCCTACAAATCTGTTTCTTAGAAAAGTAAGGAAAAGCAGGGTGTGTAACTCACTGTTGATGGCGGCTCTGTAAAGCCTCAGTGTGCATGTCTTGCAGACTTTAACCCACGAGATCGGACACATATTTGGACTCCGACACTGCCAGTGGCTTGCATGCCTAATGCAAGGCTCCAACCACTTGGAAGAAGCCGACCGGCGCCCCCTGGACCTGTGCCCTATCTGTTTACGCAAGTTGCAATGTGCTGTTGGCTTCAACATTGTAGAAAGATACAAAGTAAATGGAGGTGGGGTCGTCAAAAGGGAGAAGTGGTTATATAAATAGCAAACTATGATTTTATATTAGGCCCCTCTCTGGAGCTGTCATTTATCAGAGGAAACTAGTGCAGAGATAAGCAGGAAGCTGTGGTTTAAAAAAGGAGAGAGAAATAGCCTCCTTAAAAACTTGTTTCACCTCAGAGTGCCTTACACTTGTAGTTCATGAGCAGCGGTGGGAGATGTTTCTGCATTTGCCATTCATTTATGACAAGAGAGCCTGAATCTTCGGAACAGAATAAATGCTGATGTGTGTGCAAAGCTCCTTTTTAAAAACTATAAAAACGTGGAGGACAGAGGTAAAGTTATTAGGAGGAAAAGGTGATTTTGAGAAGGAAGAGGGGAAATGCATAATCTCAGTATGTGTGAAGGTATGTGTGTCTTCACATGCCCACAAACATCAAAAGTACTCATAGTACAACTACCCATTCATAACTGCATTACACGTCTACATGTACCTTCATATGTGTACTCTTAGCTGTGAGTGCACTTAACCTGTGTTTATGCATTCATATAAAATCAAAAGCATACTTTAATGCCTTGTGGGACATTTAGCAAGTTGAGAAAACAATATTCTCCCACCCTAGAAAACTGTGAGGATTAGTGTATTTATTTTTCATCTTTTCTCCTATGCGTACGTGACCGTAATTTATCATCATAGCGTATTTTGGGTGTATATTCGTTCACTCAGGATGTTAGCTAAGTGTTCTTTTCATATTCATAACCCTCTTTATCAAGTGGAACATCTTTATGGGTAATCTAAGTTACCGATTCAGAGAATCTGATTTAGAAGCCAGTGTTTTTCTCCTGCCTAAAACTATTTGCTGTGCTTTCTTAAAATATTAACCTCCCTTCTTTTTTTCAAGGCCCTGGTGAGGTGGATCGATGACGACTCTGCTGACACGCCCCGAGGTACCCCGAAGCATGGCCCTGATGGTAACGTGAATCTGCCCAAACCTGTGGAAGCCTTCGAGGAGTGGAGAGAGTGGATAATGAAATGCCTTGCTGTTGTCCAAAAGTAAGGGCCTTCAGACAGGAGTAATTAAAATACTTGCACATTATGATGCCTTCTTTTCTGTGGAGTGTTTCATTGGAGTAAACTACTGATCCTGCCCTGTAACATGGTGTATGCACTGGGAACCCCAAAATATTGATGTCACTCACTTGATTGCCATATTCCCTTTATTGCTGTGGTCTGGAACCGGACCCCCACTATCCTGTAGTGACAATGCTAACTGAACTCTGCCTGGGAAGAGGTGTGGTATTGGGGTTACAGTTATTTAGACAATTTGTAATGCCCATTGGAACCTACTCTGCCCTGTGAGAGCAGGAAAAAGATCTTCTGTTATAGAAACAAGTCACTTAGTCTTTTAAAAGTTGGACAAACATGAGTTTTATGTAACAGGCATTAATTCAACAACCATCACCTAAATGTTGTGTTTAACTAGTGGGTTGTGCATACCTTTGGGCAATTTCCTAGGGTTGAGATTTGTTTACCGCAACTCTATTTCATGCCCTGTCCGTGATCTTTGTAGTTGCTAAACATGAAATCCATCTAAGTTTTGCTCTGCAAATGCTGAATGGAGAAAATTAAGTGAGTCCGAAATGCTGTGCACTTTGGTGCGGGTGGAATTAGTATCTCTCCCGTCAGGGGAAGGATTAAGTGTTTGCATTTCATTCGGCCGAGACTGTGGAGGGGGTGGGGCGGTGGTTTAAATAGAAGGTGGCAAAGATCCTGCTCAGAGTCTAGTCCCCAACTTGTTCTCCCGGCCGCAAATTCACCTGATCTGAATACTTGTAAATTTCGAACCCTCAGAGGCCCCGGGGCGCGCTGGTCTCCTCTTGCGAGCGAGCGCGCCAAACCCGGCGACCGGGCCCGCCCTGCCCGCCCTGCCCCCACAGGAAGCGGCGTGGCTGTCCGGGCTGAGCCGGAGCCGGAGCGGAGCGGGGAGCGGACCAGCTGCTGTGAGCCCCGTCTCAGCTGCTCCCCGCCCGCCACCCCGACCTCCTCCCCCCGCGGCGGCCGCCGGGCGCAGCGGGGACTCCGCCTCCCCGGGGCCGGGACCTGCCGCTCCCCCCCCTCGTGTCCCGGCTGCAGCGCACGCCCCCCCCCCGGAGGCCTCGGGAACCCGCATGGCGAGGCCAACGCCACCGCCGAGCAGTAAGTGGAATCCTGTCCTGGGAGAGCAGTAAACAGTGCTTTCCGAGAGTCTGAGCCTGAAGTCCCTTCCCGTCCCGATGGGCGATCCAGAGCAGAGCCGTCCAACGCTAATGTAACGAGCCACACACGTACGGAACGACAATGTTCCAGGCAGCTGCGTGAGCCAGTGCAGAGGGAGCAGGTGAAACGCATTTCATTGAACTCAGCGTATCCAAACTGTTGTTCCAACGTGTGCCGAGTGTACCCGTTTCTGAGATATGCACCTTCTGCTTTCGTCCTAGTCTTCAGGTTCTGGCTGTTGTACACATACAGCGCGGCTCAGGTACAGGCGCCTTCCCAGTGCCCCCACTCCTGCTATTGGGCGCCCAGCTCCAGGTTAGGGGCGCCTTGTGGTCTCCAAGGAAGGATGGGCCTGTGAAGTTGAATTAAAGGGAGAGAAAAACCTTTTTTAAGGAAAGGTTCAGAGGCGCCCCCCTCCCAAACCCCTCCCCCCCCCCAGTACAGTGAGTGTTGACACTCAGGCAGCAAGGGTGTGAACCCCGAAGGGCTTCTGGCTTGGCGCTGGTTCACCTCTGGGTCTGGCTGTTGCTCTCTTGCTGTTGCCAAAGGTGTGGTGTTTCCTTTACCTGCGCTTCCACTCTTGGAGAGAACTGTGAAGTGTTAATCCTGTGAAGCCGCTGAGGCCCTGCCAGGGGGGAGACCAGCGGCAGCTGAGGAAATCGTGTGCGGTGACACCAGTGGCAGCAATGAAACCAGATCCGTCTCCCTGTTCCCAGTGGTGCTTTGTTTTCTCTGCTGCATGACCTCATCCGAAATAAGACGCCACAAGCTGGAAACCTACCATTTTCTTCCAGTTGCTTATAAACGGGGTTATAAGGTCAAACTCTTTTTTCAACCTCTTTACCCTTAAGTAGGGCCGCTGAGCTTGCTCAAAGGGAGAGAAATCAGAATACTTTGCTTTAACATAAAAATAAAAAAAAGATTTCGCAGTAGCTGGTTTGGCTCAGTGGACAGAGCGAATGCCTGAAGGGTCTTGGGTTCGATTCCGACCAAAGGCACATGCCCAAGTTTTGGGCTCGATCCCCAGTACGAGGCATGCAGGAGGCAGCTGATTGATGGTTCTCTCATCATAGATGTTTCTATTGCTCCCTCTCTCTTCTTCTCTGAAATCAATTAAAAAAATATGTTTTTTAAAAGAGATTCAATATCCAGGAAAGCATTTGCTGCCAGTTGAAACATTAAAAAAAAAAAAATCATGGAGCCCCACTGGCTTTGCTAAGTGGTTGAGCATTCACCTGCGAACTAGGAGGTCACAGTTCAATTTCCCGGTTAGGTCACATGACTGGCTTGGTCCCCAGTAGGGGGTATGCAGGAGGCAGCTGATCCAAGATTCTCTCTTATCACTGATGTTTCTATCTCTCCCTCTGAAATCAATAAAATATATGTATATGCATATATATATATATATATATATATATATGTATGTATTTTTTAAAGCCTTTATAGATAGAGGTTTGGGATACCAGTTTTGGTATCTAATTTGCCCTTAAGAAATCCATAGTCACCGCAGAACTTACGATTTGGATGTGAGAGGTTATTTAACATGAAGAGTGAAGTTGCAAGTTGAACTTGTCACTTTTCTTATTCTGCACCCTAAGGCAGACAATACAGAAACAGAACACCAGAGGGCGCTAGGCTCCTTACTTATGAGACTGGCGGGCCCACCTGTTGGAGCTTGTAGCCCTCACTTCTTTTTTTTTTTTTTTAAATATATACTTTATTGATTTTGTACAGAGAGGAAGGGAGAGAAATACAGAGTTAGAAACATCGATGAGAGAGAGTCATCGATCAGCTGCCTTTTGCTCACCCCCTACTGGAGATGTGCCCGCAACCAAGGTATGTGCCCTTGACCGGAATCGAACCCCGGGATCCTTCAGTCCCCAAGCCGACGCTCTATCCATTGAGCCAAACCGGTTTTGGCTAGCCCTCACTTCTAAAGACAAATCCAAAGACAAGGACGGTGCTTTTATCAATACAATGTATGTTTGTCGGAGTGACCTTTAAGGAAGTGACTTTCAGTAGTCACTTAAAGTAGTGTTCGTTACCACTTAAGAATTTAAAGGAAATGGCTTCTAAATGCCAGATCCCTATTAGAGAGCCTCCTATCTGGGAGCATTTTAAAAATAAGGATTCATGACCATTTCTTTATGAATTTTAGGTTATTTGAGGCATGCAGAAATGTAAGTATAATAAATACCTTCCATGAACGTCAATGGTGACCTGAACCATGGGAACCATGATTTGAAAACCATTTTCTCTCTCTCTCTCTTTCTCTCTCTTTCTCTCTCTCACTAAAGTCAATAAAAACAGAGAGAGAGAGAGAGAGAGAGAGAGAGAGAGAGAGAGAGAGATCGATCGGCTGCCTTTTGTGTGCACCCCGATTGGGAACAACCCCGAGTCCCTTTGGTGCACAGGCTGAGCCACCCTAGCCAGGTGGTCTGTTTCTGTGATACTAAGTAGTGTGTTACCATCAACTTTGTTCTTCTTTCTCAAGGTTGCTGTGGCTGTTTGGGGTCTTCTGTGGTCTATATAAACATTTGGATTATGTGTTCTAGTTTTGTGGAAAATGCCCTTCGTGTTTTGACAGGGTTTGCATTGAATTTATAGGTTGCTTTGAATAGTTTGGATATTTAAATATTTTTTCTATCCATAGCACAGTATGTTTCCATTTATTTGTGCATTTCTTTCTTTAGTATCTCATAATTTTCCAAGTACAGACCTTTTGCATCCTTGGTTACATTTATTCCTAAGTATTTTATGGTATTTTGTGTGTGTGTTTTTTTTTTAATGCACATGGGATTGTTTTTCCTAGTTTCTCTGATAGTTCATTATTGGTGTATAAAAATGCAACCAGTTACTGAATATTAACTTTGTATCCTGCTACTTTACTGAATTTATTTATGAATTCTTATAGGTTTTTGGTGGAATCTTTAGGGTACTCTACAGATAGTATCATGTCATCTGCAAATAATGACAGTTTTACTTCTTCCTTTCCAATTTGGAATCCTTTTATTTCTTCTTCTGGTCCAATGGCTATGGCCAGAACTTCCAGGACTATGTTGAATAGGAGTGACAGTAGACATCCCTGTCTTGTTCCTGATCCTGAGGAAAAGTTTTCCCCCACTGAGTATGACGTTAGCTCTGAGTTTGTCATATTACTGTATGATTTTCATTATATTGAGGTATGCCCCCTCTATTTCTGCTTTGCTGAGAGTTTTTATTATAAATGGGTGCTAGACTTTATCAAGTGCTTTTTCTGCATCTATTGATATGATCATATGATTTTTATCCGTTTTGTTTACGTGGTGTATCACATTCATTGATTTGCAGATATTAAACCAACCTTGCATCCCAAGAAAAGAACCCTACTCGATCATGGTGTATGATCTTTTTAACGCATTGCTGATATTTTGTTGAAGATTTTGCATCTATGTTCATCAGGGAGATTAGCCTATAACTTTCCTGCTTTGTAATGTCTTTCTCTGGTTTTGGAGTCAGGATAATGCTGGCCTCTTAAAATGAGCTTCTGAGTCTTTCCTTCTCTTACATTTTTGGTATAGTTTGAGAAGGGTCCATGTTAATTTTCCTATGTTTGATAAAATGGAACTGCGAAGCCATCTGGTCCAGGAGTTTTGTCTGTCTGTGGCTAGTTTCCCACTACAACGGCAGAGTTGAATAGCTGTGACAGCGGCCTCACAGCCCCCAGAGCCTTAAGTACTTACCATCTGGATCTTCACAGAAAAAGTTCACCAGCCCCTGGCCTGGAGAGTCAGCGCTGTCCACTCAGAGGGAGAGCAGTTCTTAGGATTAGTCTATAAGGGAACAGTCTTAACCGTTTCCACTTACAACAGTTGAGAGGCTTAGCTATTACTCTGTGGCTGCTATGGTATCATTTCATTCATTATTTCATTCAAGAAATAAATTCAGCAAACACTTCTTGGAAGTGTTTGTGTCTCTAGTAGTAGACTTAAACTTTTTTTTTTTCCCAGAAAAGTTGTTTTTATAGCTATAATTGGATCAAACAATCAATGCTGAGTCAATTAAAAACACACACGAATCAATTCCTTTAAATAAAAAAGCTATATATTTATTACAAATCTAGAAGTACCAGAGTGTCCCTCGTACAGAACAAATAAGCAATCCCGTTTTCATTTTCTTCCAAACATTGAAAACCTTGATTATTGATAAACTGGAATTGGCATACATTTTTTCCCCCCACATGCAGTTAACAGAATGGACACAGAGCCAGGAGCTCAGAGACCAGTTATAAATATTAAACCGTATTTAACATTCAGAGTAAAAAGGGTTATAAAGTGCTGAAGTCACGTAAGTCTGCAACACCGTCACAAGCTCAGTGCCTCCTCCAGCAGGGACCGGTCTGCCACACCCACCTTGTTTTCGGTGTGTGTCTTTTTGACAAACACTTTGCCGCTTCCTGTCCCACCTCCCCCCAGAGATTGACAGATTGTCCTGTGCCTATGGCTGATCAAATTCTGTACAACGTGTAGCAGGCGGTGCTGGACGGTGCCACTTCCACTTCAGTGCAGAGAAATATTCAAGCTTTGTGTACCTGTCACCAAACTAGGCCTGCGATACTGTTTCCCCCTGAGTTGTCACAAATCCACAGTGAAGGTGAATGAGGATGGAGCAGCGAGCACGGCCCGTCACCTGCAGAGTCAGAGTCCGTACGTAGGAGCAAGCAACCCACCCGTTTTCCTCACCTCGACCTTCTTTACAGCCAGTGGCTAAAATGAGACATACATATAGTGTAACTGCAAACAAAAACAAAAACAAAACAACAATGATCAATGACCCTGAAAACTCTGGCAAATTAGAGCGGTCAGAGTTTAGATGAGACGGAAAATCGCCCCTGGTGATGCGTGATGGTCAAGCTAACGTCCCTGCCTGCCCGGGTGAAACGCAGGCATGCTTCGGCAGTCCGAAGGCCTTCTTTCTAAACCAGAGATGCGTCAGCCATTCAGTGAGATAGAGTTCTGGTCCAGAGAGCATCCTCAAGTATTGTTAGGCGAGGGAACCTTGTTTTAAGAGGCTAAGGCTATTTGCTACTCGTTATATCCCCCCTACAAACAGCAGGTGCTGCCCTCAGTCACAGCGAAGAGGCATTACCCCCTGGAGTAACTTTACTGGAGACGTGGTGTTCGCATTCTCTGAGGCGTTGAAAGGATTGCCGAGGGCCGAAGCCGGTTTGGCTCAGTGGATAGAGCGTCGGTCTGTGGACTGAAAGGTTCCAGGTTTGATTCCGGTCGGGGGCATGTACATTGGTTGCGGGCACATCCCTGGTAGGGGGTGTGCAAGAGGCAGCTGGTCGATGTTTCTCTCTCATAGACGTTTCTAGCTCTCTATCTCTCTCCCTTCCTCTCTGTAAAAAAATCAATAAAATATATTTAAAAAGAAAAGAAAAGGATTGCCGAGGGAGGCGAGAGGGATGCGGGTGTCCTAGGTGGTATTTCTCGTGATGATGTCAGTCATCCTAGAATAACTTAATAATAAATAGTGGTTTACATTAAAGGTACGACCATCACATATTCCTGAATAATTAAGAGCCTCAGGAAGTGCATTTTGAATGCTATTCCGTATATCCCGTGTGAAATACTTCTGGTAATGGCTGGCCATCAACCAAATGTTGGCTCTTAAAGTGTACTTCATGTCCACTGACTATGTAAGAAGTTAAGAGGTTACACGTCTTTAATATAAAACCTCAGTATTTTTCAAAGAGTGTTAAATGATTTGTTCATATTTCTGAAAGTGAGAAACTGGAAAAGTGATTTAGGATGTTTGTGGGCATTTTGGAATGGCCAATTTCATTTCAGCGACCTGGGCTAGAATCCGTTTTACAGGACAGCGGGTGAGATACGGGAGATGCGCTTACAGCCACTGTGCCGACTGGCATCGCTGTTTCAAACCCGGAGTGTGAACCACGGTGCTCCTGCGTACCTCTGCGTCGCCCCGGGGTGCAGCCCGGTTTCTGTACGGAAGAGTATTTGGTTGTTTCTGTTTTGGCTTAAAGAACAAGCAGACGGGAAAGCATAAAAAGAAGGATGCTGTTGGTGGTGCCCGCGGCCCCATTCCCTGCAGAGTGCCGTTTGAAAGCAGGTGGGACGATCGGCTCCTCTACACCACGGTGCCCCCAGACGCGCCCCCTCCCCCCCAGCCAGCCAGCAGGGTGGCTGATGTACCAGGGTCTGTCCGTCATTCCGGCTCCGATTTCATAGGAACTTTATGCTCCTGCTTCCCAAGGTCCATCTCAAGGAAGTCTTCAGGGACGTCTTGTAAAGCTCTCCCCCGGTAGCTCTCCGCCTTCCCGTCGCCCGCGGGCTGGCGCCGGCACAGTCCCTTCCCACAGGGCCTCACCAGCGCCAGGCACCCCGCCGCCACCGCCATGCCCGCTGCGCAGGAGTAGAAGGCTCTGCTGTACACCTTGCTGTGGTCCACCAGCAGCCCTGGGGAGCATGCACACCGTTAGCATCCGGGCACCAAGCCCCTCTCCCAGCCCCCCACACAGACGCTCCTCTCTCTCTGCCTGCTTTGTTTTATCTTGTTTATCTAAAGAACGTGTCCAAGGCAGGAATCTTCTAGATGGGGGGAGGGGAGGGGAGAATAAAGCAGACAGACAGTGTATACTTATTAGCAGCCGAGGTAATGGTGTCGCTAAAATGCCTTCATGGGCTGCCAGACTGGCGTGGCTCAGTGGTTGAGCATCGACCTGTGAACCAGGAGGTCCACGGTTCGGTTCCCTGTCAGGCAGGGCACATGCCCAGATGGCGGGCTCGATCCCCAGTAGGGGGTGTGCAGGAGGCAGCCAGTCAATCAGTGATTCTCTCTCATCGTTGATGTTTCTATTTCTCTCACCCGCTCCCTTCTTTTCTGAAATCAATAAAAACATATATTTTTAAATGCCTTCATGGGCTAATCTGTCCTAAAACATGGGACTGCTGAATGCATGCTTCTTCGGAAAGGGAATACTCTTAAGAGAGGAAAGAGCACTATTATTTTCACAGGTCTCTGTTCACATGGGGTAAGATTTCCAGTCCCAACAACCCTAAGGTGCTACTTCAGGTCTAAGGTATGAGAGACACCGTGTCTCCCTCGAGGACGTGTGGGTGAGTGATCAGGGGCCGAATGGAGTGCTGCTCTGTGCTCAGATCCCGACACCCCTCCCAAGAAGGGAAGGTGGCTCACAGAACTTGTTACTCCCCGTCCTGCTGTCCCACAGTCAGAGGGTAACGAGCTCAAAATCCATGGCCCCTCCAGCACTTATACAGCAGGATGGTGGGCAAGGCCTGGGCAGCTGGGGCTGCAGAGGGACTTGGTCACCGGTTTACCATTGGACCATCGGCTCACAATCTTTGACTTCCGTTTCCTCCTATTTAAGTCCAGAGAGCTGCTCAGGTCCTCTCTAACTCTGCCAGCTCTGTAATTCTATGGAAGTATGAGAATCAGTAGACTTTTAAATTAGACTCGAACAGGACGCTAACACAATTAATGAGGGAATACTAAACATTGTAGATTATATAATCCATAGGACAGGGCCCACTTTATAACTAGAGGCCTAGTGCATGAAATTTGTGCACTTGGGGGCGGGGGCGGATCCCTCAGCCTGGCCTGTGTGCCCTCTCGCAGGCTAGGAGCCCTTGGGGGATATCCTCAGTCAGACATCCTTAGCACTGCCACACTGCTGCACTCGCTAGGAGCACACTGACCACCAGGGTGAAGCTCCTGCACTGAGCATCTGCCCCCTGGTGGTCAGTGCGTGTCATAGTGACCTGTCATTCTGCCCTTTGGTTGATTTGCATATTAGCCTTTTATTACATAGGATATGATCTCCACTGAGAGCCTAGGAAGCTATCTCCAGTCTTCCTTAGGAATATTCCTGCTCTAAACAGTGTGTCACGTTGAACTAGTATGGCTCAGGTCCAGAAAGGCGACAGACGTTCCACCTGTCCAACTCTATGTTGAAGAAGAGAGGGGGAGGGGGTAGCAGCCAAGGGTTTGGATTTGGTGTTGTGTTCACGTTACCTGCCAGGGGTGGCCCGGCGAGCGCCGCGATGCTCTGAATGAAGACGTAGACCCCGGCGGCAGAAGACATCTTCTCGATGCCCACCACGTCGTCCTCCGCCAGCAGGGGGATGTGGGTGCCCGCCACGGTCCCGAGCATGACGCCAAACAATATGCTGCAGGACATCAAGCCCCAGAACCCAGTCGCAAACGTAAAGGCAAACAGAGACACGGTCAGCAGGAGGACGAAGACGAGCTCGATGTAGATCTTGCGGATGGGCTGGCTGTTGAGGATGAAGCCGGCGCCAATCCTCCCGAACACCTCGGCGATGGCCATCATGGACAGCAGCAGGGCAGCGCGGTCCTGGGTGAGGCCCAGGCTGACGCCCAAGGGGATGATGTACAAGGAAGGGGCGAAGAACCCCAGCGTCGCAAAGAGACCGAACAGCGTGTACCAGATGAAGCTCCTCTCCCTCAGGACGGAGAAGTCCAGCAGGGGGCCTCGCGGGGGGCGGGGCTGCTCCAGGACCTGCTGCTCCACGTCGGCCTTTGGCCCCAGCTCCGCGGCCGCGTGGCCAGGCACGGTTTTAGGTGAGGTAGTGAGTTCCACTCCTGAGTCGATGGAGTCTATCGAGGTTCGCGTCTTCTCGTTCTCCAGCATGTACTGCACTTCCTTTGCAGTCTCCTGTCCGGCTGTTTTCGGGGACCCCGGCCCCGTGATGAGAATCGGCCTCAGCAGGGCCCCGCAGAGGACGATGTTTAGCTGCAGCAGGCCCACCAGGAGGAGGCTGTGTCTCCAGCCGATGTTCTCCTTCAGGGCCGTGAATGCTTGGGTGGGCGGGAGGGAGGGAAGAGAAATAGAAGGTGAGACCAGGCATCGACTCAAGACACAGGAGACGCCCCTGAGCAGAAACAGGGATTCAGAGTTGGCTAAATGACTCCTTTCGGAATGGATGTTTTCAAGCCTTGCTGCGGAATAGGTGCCACAGATCTTCCTGTTTGTGTAAATTTGAACTAGGATTGAAATGTTTGAATTCCTGCCGAAACCGGTTTGGCTCAGTGGATAGAGTGTCGGCCTGCGGACTGAAAGGTCCCAGGTTCAGGTTCGATTCCGGTCAAGGGCATGTACATTGGTTGCGGGCATATCCCCAGTGGGGAGTGTGCAGGAGGCAGCTAGTCGATGATTCTCATCGATGTTCCTAACTATCTATCCCTCTCCCTTCCTCTCTGTGAAAAATCAATAAAATATATTTTAAAAAAAAGAAAAAAGAAAAAAGAAATGTTTGAATTTCTACCCAGCTGGTGTGGCTCAGTGGTTGAGCGTCAAACCAGGAGGTCACTGGTTCGATTCCTAGTTAGGGCACATGCCTGGGTTGCGGGCTTGACCTCCATTGTGGGCGTGCAGAGGCAGCTGATCAATGATTCTCTCTCATCATTGCAGTTTCTCTCTCTCTCTCTCCCCCTCCCTTCCTCTCTGAAATCAATACAAATGTGTTTGAATTCCTAACATGAGGGTTAGGGAGGACACCCCCCAAAGGTGTGCTGGAGGAGAGAAGGAAGCACCCTTTCCTTAGGCAGAGTTACAGCCGTCCCGTGGCCAACAGCAGGGCGAGTGAGAGGCAGCGGAGCCCAGCGGCTTCCCCACGTCGGTGCCCAGACTGTGGCCGTCACCTACCTGGTGCGAAAGCGAACATGGCAAAGCATTCCCCCGTGGAAGCCGCTGCGGTGACGATCGAGCGCCTCTTGTCGAAGTACTGAGACAGGATGGTGAGAGCGGGCAGGAAGCTGAAGCAGTAGCCCAGGCCTGCGCGAGGCAGAGAGCACGGTGAGCGCCTCCCACGGACCAGCCTCAGGAAGATGCCTCCCGAGGCCTGGGGGGGTTTGTGTTTGTTTATTTATTCATTTATTTACTCATTTATAATATATTTTATTGATTATTTTACAGAGAGGAAGAGAGAGGGATTGAGCGTTAGAAACATCGATGAGAGAGAATCATCCATCAGCTGCCTCTTGTACACCCCCCACTGAGGATATGCCCGCGACCCAGGTACATGCCCTTTGACCGGAATCAAACCCGGGACCTTTCCGTCCACAGGCCGACGCTCTATCCACTGAGCCAAACCAGTTTCGGCTGTGTTTATGTTTTAAATAGTAAGTTCTGGGAGCTTCCGGAAAAGGTCTCATGGGAAAGGATTTCATTAGAGGACTGGAGATGCTGAGACAATTGTTTTGGGATGCTTAGAGTATGAAAACTGTTTTCTGTTTGTTTTTCTGCTTTGTTTTTTTTCTATTTTCCCCCCCAGATATATATAATTCAAAGTGGATATTATTTCTATTGACTATATTGTAGTTTTTATATATAAGATTTCCATTAGGAAATCAGTTTTGAATTGTACAGAAATACCTAAAAATTTTAAGTGTGCAAAATATATGCATATATACATAATACAATATGTCATATCTATCTATCCTATATAATAAAAGGCTAATATGCAAATTGTCCCCTTGATTGGGAGTTCTACTGGGATTTTGACCAGGGGGTGGGGCCAGCCCCTCCCCAGTAGCTGGCCCTGCCCACATTGGCACCCCCACTCGGATTAGCCAGCCAACCTCCCACATCCCCTCCCACTGGCCAGCCTGGCCCAATCGGCCCTCCTATCAGGATGGGTTGGCCAGACCCCCGCCATGCACAAATTCGTGCACTGGGCCTCTAGTCTGTAGAATATATATATGTGTCAGCAATGTATGGACTCCTTTTTAAGTGAAAAACGTTTTCTCAGACTCCTAAGCATAAGCCTCCCCCAATAGCTCAGGATCCTCAGACCCTGATTTGGGAAATACTGGATAAAGAAATTAAAAATCTTACTTTGTGAAAATGATGTCTTTGAGTGGCAAACTATAGGGGTTGGCAATAGTAGGTTTACAGTTGTGAGTATGCAAAGTAGAGCTTATTCTTGTATTATTTATTTTTATTTTCCATATGAACAACTGTAAACCTACTTTTGCCCCACCCCGGTATCATTAAAGAGGCTTCCTTTCTCATTGGTAAACATTGAAAAATTAGACAAAATTTCTTGAGCATTGAGAATAGAGTCTCAGATCCCTGGAGTCCATACAGCCTGTTCCAAGAGACTAATCTGGGACACTTTATTTTATTATTATTTTTAATCCTCACCTGAGGATATTTTTTCTTTGATTTTTAAAGAGAGTGGAAGGCCTAGACCAGTTTGGCTCAGTGAATAGAGCGTCAGCCTGCAGACTGAAAGGTCCCGGGTTCGATTCCGGTCAAGGGCATGTACTTTGGTTGCGGGCACATCCCCAGTAGGGGGTGTGCAAGAGGCAGCTGATGGATGATTCTCTCTCATTGATGTTTCTAACTCTCTATCCCTCTCTCTTCCTCTCTGTAAAAAAAAATTTTTTTTTTTTTTTAAAAGAGAGTGGAAGAAAGAGGGAAGGACAGGGAGAAACGCTGATGAGAAAGGGACAGAGAAAAAGAAATAACACTTTGGATTTGAGTCCCTGCTTCCCTTCCTTGTCCTTCAGACCGCGTGTCTGGAAAACTCTGGATCCCGGATGAGCGCTTACCGGAGACGATGCCGATGGCGACGTACATGTGGTACACCTTCTGGGAGAAGGAGGCCGCCACCATCCCGGCGCTGACCAGCAGGCCTCCCGCCATCACCACCGGGCGGTGTCCGAAGCGACTGCTCAGGACGGTGGAGAGGGGGGCTGCGTGGAAAGAGCATAGCGTGACGTTTGGCTCCCAGCGTTTGCTTTAGCACAATTCCTTCTGTAAAGTCTCGGACATGGAAAGACAGAGCACACTGTATAACACAAAGCTCCGGCTCCTCCCCTGCTCGGGTCCTGGTTGGGGCTCATGCAAGAGGCAGCCAATCAATGTATTTCTCTCACCCAGATATTTCTCTCTGTCTCTCCCTCTTCCACTCTCCCTAAAATAGTCAATGGAAAAAACATCCTTGGGTGAGGATTAGCACAAAAAAATTTTTTTTAAAATAAAGTACAGGTTTCCAGATTGTGGGCTTGAACCCCCCAGTAGGGGGCATGCAGGAGGCAGCCGATCAATGATTCTCTCTCATCATTGATGATTTTATCTCTCTCTCCCTCTCTCTTCCTCTCTGAAATCAATAATAAAAAAATATATAAACAAAAACAGTTGCATCCCCCGTGGAACTGGAGGTTATTGCTGTCCTCAAAGTAAAGAATAGCGGACTAAGAATCTGCTCACAATAGGTGTCTAATACATGTGTGTTAAACTGAAGTCAGTCAAGGTTGACAAGTAAGACTTTCTCCCCCCTCTCACCCCCCCCCCCCCCCAAATCCTCTTTCTTGGGCCATTTTCAACTTCCTGAAAATGGTATTACTTGAGGCTAGAAAGTGCCAAGAGATCATGGAGAAAATGCATCACAACCATAATGTGTACCATTCTGTCGTCAGGCAACTTAGAATTAACAGTGTTGAAGGGGAAAGATGTACTCACCTGTAAACGTTAAGAAAAACACACATATTGATATGATCCATGAGATCTTGCTATTAGATTCCTCAAAACTGTCCATTAAGTCAGTAAAGAAGACGCCAAACGACTTGATGACACCATAGGTAAAGACTTCAACGAAGAAGAAAGACACAGCTACTGCCCAGCCCCACCCTCCGTCAGGCACTTGAGTATAAACATTGGCTCCGGAACAAAGCTGTGGTTTCTTCTCGGTCATTCTTAATCTGAAATAAAAAGTTTTAAAAGGTCAGGACCATAATAGCACGAGGGCTGATGATTCGAATGCTCTAGCAAACATAACAGATAAGAACTGTTTATCACATTTCTTAGGTTGGTGAATATTTAAATCATGTGCAGTTAATATAAAGTCTTTGGATAATAAAAGATCTAATGGAGCCCCCAAAGAATTTAGAGGTAAGATTTTCAAGCTATGGAAATTAAATGGCAAAAACAAACTAACATAAAGCATCAGGGAAGATATTTACTAGTAGAGGCAGTGTGAAGGACAGAGAATGGCCAAAAGACCAAGCCTCAGTGGTGACCTTGAACTTGAAGACAAGTTAGGTAAAGGACGAGTGAAGTGAGCAAAGGGAATGTTGATCAGAAATGAAACCTAGATTGGTAGAGGATTAAAAATGGTGGTAGAGTAAGTGGATGCCTCACAGACATTCTCTCAGAAACAAACTGGAATTACAACTAAAATACAGAAAAACTTTCCGAATAACCAACAGAAGACTCACAGGAGAACCCTGATATCCGAGGACCAAAAGTGGAGACTGCATAGGGACTGGTTGGAGGTGCAAAAGGGCTGGCCAGGCATCCACAAACAGCAACTGAAGGTCTGGAGAGAGATCTCAGCTGTGGGGGATTGCCACTGAGAACTCTGGGAGCTGATCCCCAAGCTGCCCCTGCCCCTTCAACCCAGCGGAGAGCACCAGAACCGAGAAGGGCACCTACATAACATCTGGCTGTGGAAAGCAGTGGTGTTGCTCTCTGCTAGGGAACAACACCTAGAAATTCAGGCACCCTCTTAAAGGGCCAATGCACAAAATCCTTGTGCTCTGGCAGAGGGAGGGCAGAGTGGACTGGAGCTGTGGGAGCAGAAGCCAGGATTGGGGACTTGGGAATTAGAAGGTCACTTCCGAGACTAAAAAGAACAATTAGCCTCCAGGTAGACGCAAGTTACTCACTCTTAAAAAACAAACAAACAAGACAAAACAAAAACTCGCCATACCTGAGGACACTTGCCTGGGGTCATTCAAGTCTGAATTCTATCAGTCTGTAGGCAGAGGTAGTCTCTGGAGACTTTGAGTCTTTGCCTGATCTAATGAGTTAGAAATAGTGTTTGACACTCCTGCATTAGAGATTGAAAGGCATAGAGGATCTACCTAATACACAGTCACAAACCCAAACCAATAGCCAAAATGAGGAGACCAAGAAACAACCCCCAAATTAAAGAACAAGAATATTATCCAGAAGGAGATAAATGAAACAAAGTTCAGAGTAATGATGGTAAAGATGCTCAACAGCATGAAAAAAAATATAGTAACTATGAAAAAAAAACAGTCTGAGATAAAGAATGACATCACAAAGAACACATTGGAAAGAACACACAGAAGAATAAGGGAAGCTGAGGACTGAATCAGTGAATTAGAAGACAGGGTTGAAAAAAATCAGAGAACCAAAAAGAAAAAACAGGAGGACAGCTAAGGGAGATATGGGACAATGTGAAATGTAACAATATTAGAATAGCAGGTGTTCCAGAAGAGGCAAAAAGCGACAAAGAGATTGAGAACTGGTTTGAAGAAATAATGGCAGAAAACTTCCCTAACCTGGTAAAGAAAAAAGACACATAAGTTCAGGAGGCACAGAGAACCCTAAGCAAGAAGAACCCAAACAGACCCATACCCAGATTCATCATAATTAAAATGCCAACAATTAAATGTCAAATCTTAAAGGCAGCAAGAGAAAAGCAAACTGTTACCTACAAAGGAGCTCCCATAAGGCTGACATCAGATTTCTCATCAGAAACTCTACAGGCCAGAAGGGAATAGCATGAAGTACTCAAGGTAATGGAAAGCAAGGGTCTGAAACCAAGATTACTACGGTATATCCAGCAAGGCTGTCATTCAAAATAAACAGTCAAATAAAGAGCTTCCCAGATAAAAACAAACCAAAACAAAAACAAACACAAAAAAAACACACACAAAAGACAAAACCCCCCCCCAAAAAACTAGAGTACATCACCACCAATCCAGCATTACAAGAAATGCTAAAGGGATTGCCATAATGAAAAGAAGAAACAGAAAGAGAAGCCTAGGCATACAGAATTAAAATGGCTATAAATAAGTACCTTTCAATAATAAGCCTAATTATAAATGGATTAAATGCTCTAATCAAAAGGCCTAGGATAGCTGAATGGATAAAAAAATATAACCCAACTATATGCTGTCTACAAGAGACCCACCTCAAAACAAAGACACACACACAGAGTGAAGGGATGGAAAAATTTTTTCCATGCAAATGGAAAAAAAGAAAAAAAAGATGGAGTAGCAATACTCATATCTGACAAAACAGACTTGAGAACAAAGGCCATCACAAGAGACAACAAAGGTCACTACATAAATACTAAAGGGATTGACCCAACAAGAGGATATAACCCTAGAAACATATATGCAATATATGCACCCAATATAGGAATATATATATATATATATATATATATATATATATATATATATATATATATATATAAAATTTCTAGAGGACTTTCAGGGAGAGATCTACAACAATACAGTCACAGTAGGGGACTTCAACACCTCTACTGAGGTGGCAGGAACATAGTGATCAGAATAGTAAAAAAAAAAGAAGAAAAAAAAAAGAAAAAAAAAAAAAAGAAATGAAACCTAGAAAAAAGCAGGCTAAGAGGCAAATACGGACAACGCCATCTGTGCACCTGTGCTTGATGCCTCTGACCAGATTATCCAGCCACCTCTCTTTGATCCCATTTCCCACTCAGCTGCTTCATGATTATGATCTGTTTTCCACGTGGATATAACTATACGTCCAAATTCCCAAGTTGTCTCCTGGGAGTTTGGCACGAGTAAGTTACCCAGATTGCTCAGCACTTGGCACATTTAGCACCTGAATTCCCGAGCATGCCACAAATGTGACTTTGGAATACAGTGACCAGCCCAGCCGGTGTGGCTCAGTGGTTGAGCGTCAACCCACGAAGCAAGAGGTCACTGTTCGATTCTCGGTCAGGGCACATGCCCGGGGTGCAGGTTCAATCCCCAGTAGGGGATGTGCAGGAGGCAGCTAACCAACGATTCTCTCTCATCATTGATGTTTCTATCTTTCTATCCCTGTCCCTAAAAATCAGTTGCAAACATAGAATATAGTGACCAAAAAAGACACTGTCAACTTGTAGGACCTGGGCAGCCAGTTTTAACCCTAAGTTATCCCTGACCTTGCAGCTTTCCATTCAAACCGCAATGAACATCAGACCTTAACACCATAAGCAAGGGAAAGCACTGGACTTAACACTGAAGGGGAAGTTCAATCTTCTGCTTTGGGCTGTTGCACATGAATCCTGGTTTTCAGGCTCTGCAATTGCATGTACTTTGAAACAGGGATGCATGTTTTGAGCCCAGCTAAAAATTAGTGTCTATAATAGTTAGTTCATGGTTTTAAGTTCTTAATGCTAACCCACCTTGAGTTTAAGGTTTCAATTACACAGTGAATTTCTAGGATGTGTGGATCCTTTCAGTGTCTGCTGTGTTAGGAATGAAGGCAAGTTTTATTGATAAATGAAGAGTAATTAAATAAGAACAGGACACAACCTCCTCTATCCAGTAGACGTGCCAATTTCTGGTGCTAGAATCTCATATTCTGAGTTTATTGTATAAGCGTTAAAAAGCAGCAAATGTGCCCTAACCGGTTTGGCTCAGTGGATAGAGCATCGGCCTATGAACTGAAGGGTCCCAGGTTTGATTCCGGTCAAGGGCATGTACCTTGGTTTCGGGCACATCCCCAGTGGGGGAGGGAGGAGGTGTGCAGGAGTCATCCGATCAATGATTCTCTCTCATCGATGTTTCTAACTCTCTATCCCTCTCCCTTCCTCTCTGTGAAAATCAATAATATATATATATATATATTTTTTAAAAGGCAGCAGATATGACCCAAATTCATGGTCCACCCTATTCACATCACTTTCCCACAGTAGCCTACGACTTGGAAAGGGCTAGATGCCCACTTTTTGCCCTATCGCTCCTAAGCATTTGGTTGCACAAACAGGCGTAAGAGGCTTTCAGAAGCTTTAAGCTCCCTGCGGCAGAGGCCTCTGCGTTTCCACGGGTGTTAATGCGTCCTTCCCGAGCGCGACGAGCGCGGCTGGGAAGGTGGGAAGGGCAGTTAAACAGCTGGAGGTGTAGGCTGCGAGCTACAGAGCAGTTGGCACTCCCATTTCCCATCCTGGAAAGCAGCAGAGGTGAGATGGGAGCCCTGACCTGAGCCCCCCAGCAAATGAGGCTTTCACAACGCCCCTGCCTCATCAGACCTTTCAATCCACTCCCAAGGTGAGGCCCCCGGAGCAGGAAAGAAGCTCCCTGCCCCCACCCCCCGCCCCGTCTACAGCGCAGGCCCTCAGCCCTCACCCCTTGCATTCGCCCCCCTCCCAGGCCACTGCTCCTTTTCTGGTCTCTTACTGGTTCCTCGGGTCTGGTACGATTGAGCTTTCTGAAACGCTGCATTAGTTCGACGTCATTTTTTCTCTCTCTCTGACTTTTGCGTGGCTTTCCTCGTTCTGGGCCATCAAATCCACCCTTAGCCTGTCCTTCAGGATCGAACCCCGACCTACCTTTCACCTTTGAAGCCTTATTTTTGTTCTAAAACGTGACCTGCCTGCCATGGCCCAAATGGCCTCACTCCTCCTTGCCCTCCAGGTTCTAACCACCAGGCCTGTGCCCTCTGCAGCTGGCACCTTTAAGACCCGGTGCCATCAAAATCCATCTCCCGCGATGCTCCTTCTGGCTGACTCAACCTAAAGGGCTTTCTCCACGTGACAGGCATCGTTGAATACTTCAATGAGTCTATCTTATTTGAGGAGTTTAATGTTAAGCTCATAAAAAACAGCATCTGGGTTCTACATCTCTTCATATGTCCTGCCCTCCCCCATTTCCCAGTACCTTGCATATAACTTTTATTTATTTTTCAAAAAAGTGCCTACTACTGCCACGCCCAAAGCTAGGCCTCGGCAATAGCAATACTGTAGTGAAAAGACAGAGAGATGGTCTCTGCTCTGAGGCTTACATGCTTGTCGATCATGATAAGGAGCCTGCAGCTTAAAATGCATGTTTACAACCTCCCTGCAGAGGCCAGCACACTCGGACAGGCACAGCTGTGCCAGGCCCCTAGGAGGGTGCATGTAAGGTCTGAGTCTTACCAGGGGGCTCAGGACCCACCTGCACATAAATATACTGGGGTAAAGAACACACATATTGGGATAAAATTGATGAGGGCCCAAAGAGGCAAACGGACTCTCTCTTTGGCCTAAAATGACTGCCGGATGAAGACAGATCTTTTTAGACGACGTGGACTACACTGCACTTTCTGTGCGAGGAGAGGTCGCCCCGTCCTCGGAAGGCCCTGCGTCAGGCCAGCGTTCCGGCCCTGGTGGTGGGCGCACCCCTCTCCTTTGCCTGTCCTGACCAGTCGGTGGGATCAGGATCCACCTGTAGCCCCCGAGTGGAGTTGAGTTACAGAATGTGATGGCTGAAAGGGAGGGCGGACCTCATCTTGTCCATCTCCTCCTTGCACGAGGCGGCTCCTTGTGCAAAACGGGAAAACTGAGCCCCAGGGAGGTAAAGAGACCCGACCCAAATGGTCCGGAATCAGGTGTCCTGCCTCCTGGGCCCTGTGGGATCAGCTCTGGGATGGCATTTTAAGGGCCAGGGAGGGGGTTGTTTTACATAGACATTGTAAGGAAACATGTTTTCTTAAAAAAACAAACAAACAAAAAAAAACTCCCCTGACTTTTGTGGGTAGAGGGAGGTCTGTGACCTGATTCACCAGAGCCGCTGTGTGACCTTGCCAAAGTCACTCCACCTCTCTGGGCCTGAGCTGCTCATTTGTCGTCTTTAGTCAGAGGTCTTCTGGAGAATATTCAAGGCTCAGAGTTTCACTCTTCACCCAATCCCTCCGGCCAAAGCTGGGGGCCCAGGGACACCAGGGTGCTGGGACGAAGGGGCACATGCTAGGTGGCTCTTGGGAAGGGGGTGAGAGGCAGCTGGGCCTGGGGGAGAGCAGGTCAGCTGGCTAGAAGGAGGCCTTTTGGTCGCTGTGCTTTCTGAGCCCCTTCAGGACGCCCGATTCCTTTGTTTGTCAGAGCGTTGCTCTCATCGGTGCCCCTCTCCAGAAGCTACGTGCACACGTGACCTGCACCTGCACGCCTAGGTTTTCGGAGGACAGAAACCTTCTTGTTCCCACAAGGATCCCATAAAGGCAAGCTGCCCACCCCCCTGCCCACCCCCGTCCCGGAACTCAGCCCTCCTTTCTGGTTTATGACTTCCTCATTCTAAGGCAGGCTACCTCTGCAGAATGTAGCTTTGAAGATAAGATCACACAGTGTCGATAAAAACGGAAGAATAACACATATCTTGTACAGGGCAGGCGCCTACAGGGTAGTAGTCAGCAGCTGTCTGCAGACCCGGTGCCTGGCAGCATGTCTGGCACATAGTAGGTGCTCAGCCAAAGTTCACTGAACAAACCCCCGAGCAGTGCACCGCTCTGTCCTCAGGGAGCCGAGCCACCGGGTGCTGAAGTCCCTGCTTGCAGAATAAAGGCTTTCCCGGACCCGTCTCCTCTCCTCGAGCCACTCATTCAGCAAGCTCAGCCTCGACAGAGTGAGGAAACGAAGCCCCGGCTTTTGAACTCACTCACTTAGAAGCCTCTCCAGATTCTTCCAGAATCGGGAATTATCTGTCCGTTTCGGTGGAGTGATCTGATAAGGGATATTCGTTTTACTATGCAGGGATCTAACTGGAAAGGCGAGTTGAGTGACTGGTTTTGGGTGCATCGTTTTGCTCCTGGAGGGCCAGGCTGAGTGCAGATGAACTAGATCTCGGTGACCTCAGACCTCCTCCCGCCCTGAAACCTATCATTCTAGGTAGCCTGGGGCCCTGGCTTGCTCTAAGCTACTCTTTCTTTTTCTTTCAACCCCTGTGGAGTGCTCTGAGGCAAAGCCACCTGGCTTCTTTTGAGCCCACCAGCATTATCTGCGAAGTGGTATTGCTTGGTCTCTAACGTCCATGATCTCTGAAAGCAGGGGTTAGACGTGGCAATCCCAGGGTCTCTCCAACCGTAAAACTATGATTCCGCGCACACACAGGCTCCTGGCTACCATCTTGTCTCCACCCGAATGCTCCTCCAAAGGAAGGCACACAAAACACGCTGGGCAGTTTGGAATCTCCCCTACGACCGCTGGACTGCCTTAACCTTAAATAAATGAGCCCTCAGCCAAGGCTTGTTCAGCTGCTAAGCCTGGGGATCTCACTGCCGTTTGATTTGCTGAGAAAAGACCTGACCTGGGGGCATGAAGACTGCAAACTATCCGATTCTTACAGACCATCTCAGAGTCCAGTTCAAAATGCCATCTCTGGCTGGAAACGGTGGCGGCAGCTGGGGTAAGCAAAGTCTGGGCGATGCATCGCCAAACCTCCCTTCTTCTTGAAGGTGTGGCCTGGGGAACAGCTTTCGACAAGCTGTTTCCGTTCCCAGTTGTCAAAAATCATTCTGTCTTTTTTAGGCAAAGTTCATTCTCTATTAAAAAAAAAAAAGAAGAAGAAGAAGAAAAAGAAATCCCAAGCCTAACCTGTAGGGCTGCCTCGGCAGCACTGAATCACCGGATACAAGCGGCTCACCCACTCTACAAGATCCTGACGTTGCAACCCAAGCCCCTAATTTAAGTGTCCTCCTCAGGAGTCCCACTGAGGAAAAGCCCGTTCTGGGAAGCCGCAGAGGGAAAGCTGGGGGCTCGGGGTGCTCATTCAGAGCGGGGCCACGTCTCCCTGGCTGCACTGTTTACTTCCACGCCGTAACCCTCCGCCTTGCCTGCCCTCCCCTCAGTCACGAGAAGAGACATCTCTGTGCCCACCAGGCAGGACGGACGGCTTGTTGACCCCCCAACATGCCACACCATGGTGCTTGGGACGTGGGGAGGTGCATCGCTTAGAGATTTCAGCATAAGCACTTGGCTTTTTTTTTTTTTTTTTTTTTTTTTTTGCAAACAAATTAAATCATTTTTTATTATGGTTTCCAAAACAGTTAAGGTTCCCGAGAAATGTCCTTGTCCAAGACAGGAACTATCTCTTTCGAGAAAGGGCTGGCACGGAGCGCGTGGCCGTGCAATCTCAACCAGCTTCCTGGTTGACAAGTTGCAATCGCTCTTCCGCAGTTGGCTCTTGGGGAGCTCTCTCTACCGCTCCCGTGTCCGGTGACATTGCATCTGGCACCGCGCAAACTTCTGCCACCTGCCTCCGGGGGCTGGAGGGAGGGTAGCGTTGGTTCTGAGTGTTTGCATGTTGTTGTTGTTTTAATTTAAAAAAAAAAAAAAAGAAAAACACGAGAAGGAAATAACCCGTTTCCTCTACAAAATCAGCCTCCCTCGCTACGGAACTGCTCAGCCTCAGGGGCGCGTTCCTGCGGCTGGCAGCGCAGGGAGCCTGGGGAGGTGAGCGGCGCGGGCTCCAGCCGCTGAGCACCTGCGCCTGCCTCCCCCAGGGGGTCCCACAGGCTAGTGAGCTGTGGGTGGGAGACACATGGAACCCCACTTTCCCTCGCGGCCGCCCCGCATGCGTGCGCGGATCTGGGGAAGGCACCTCTGCCATATGGCACTGGGGGCGCACAGGCGGCTCGCTTCCTGCGGGGAATCCCTGCAAAGGCTGCGCCCCGCGCCCCCAGTGGCCCCGAGGTCCGGAGCCCCCAGAGCGGGGCCAGGCGCACGCACTGTCAGCCAGGCTCGCCTTTAGCTGTTTTCCGGACGCAACTGTATCAGGCCAGGATTTTCTGTGTCAGGCCGGGATCACAGCTCCCAGCTGCCCACACCGGCCAGAGCGCTTCACCCCGGCGGCCCTGGCATTCCGAAGGGCCAGAGACTATGTTCTCGCAGTAACCTCTCCAAAAGGTGAAGGTGTTCAAGCGCTCTCCTCCGCCTCCCACCACCCACCCAGCCAAAAAAAAAATAATTAAAAAAGGTGCCTCACCCATTAAAACAACCCACACCCCGTCACCAAAGTTTGAAACGTGTAAGATAATAAAACCAACTCACCAAGTTAGCAGGGCAGAGAATAAACCCCAGAGGCTCCCACTAAGGCGCGGGCCGGGCCTCCCCGCCTTATAAGCCGCTGGGTGACACGAGCGAGGTTTAACTCCTTGGGGCGTGGGCCCGAGCCCAGCGCAAGTTGTTGGCTCAGAGGAGTGTCCGCGGGACCCGCCCGCAGCGCCCCGCCCCGGCCCCTGCCCCCCACGGGCTCCCGCGCCCCAGGCACCCCGGCGGCGGCGCCCGCTCCCTCCCTCCCCCCGCCCGCCGGCGCCCAGCCCGGGTCCCCGCGCCGGTCTCTGCCTCCCTCTGATCCTGTACCGGCTGCAGCCGGTCTCCGCCGGCCTCGGGGGCGCGCCGCCGCCGCCGCCGACCATGTGCTGCGAGCGAGCGCCGCGGAGGAGGGGGCCGCCCGGAGCGCGCGCGCCGGCCCACGTGCACCCGGCCCGCCCCAGGCGCGCGCCCGCCCCAGCCCGGCCGGGGGTCACGGAAGGTAACGGCGCCGCTGTCCCCCGCGCCGCCCACTCCCGGGTGCCCGCACCGCCCGAGGCTTTGCGCGCCTTGGCCCCATCGGACCCCGGCGCTGAGACCCCGGCTCTGCCAGCGGGGAGAGCGGGCTTGTGTGGGGACGCCCGCACCCTCGCTGCTAGCCCTTCCATCGTCCTCGCTGCAGCCCCTCTGCATGCCCCAGCCGGCCGTGTCCTGAGGATTTCGGGGGGGGGGGGGGAGGAAGAAGGAGGATGAGGGGCTCTGGGGAGGGTCCCCGGCGGCGCGGGCGGCGCTAGCGGTTCCGCGGGCGGAACAGGTTCTTTCCAGTTTGAGCGTGAGCTGCGCGCGCGCGGCGCCGCGGTCCCCAAGTTCCTCCTCCAGGGCCAACTTCCCCCACTCCGTCCACGGTGCACCCCGCAGTTCCCCTCCCGGGAGGGAGGGGGGAGTGCCGCAGTGGCCGCAGGAGCTGGCAGCCCGGCCGCTGAGGGTGACCTGGTTTCCCCCCTTCCTGCGGCGGCGGCGGCGGCGGCGGCATCATCCGCGCTGAGTCAGCATCCCGGCCGGGGGCACACGCGGACCGCGCTCTCCGCCGGGAGCCGCACAGGTGCATGGCTGCTGGCCCGGGGCGCCTGGGGGAGCCTTAGGGAGCAATTCGTGTCCCTCCATCCGGATGTTCCCGACCCCCAGGGCCCCGTGAGCTCATCAGATCCGCATGGGGAGCCTCAGTGAAGAGCAGTCCTGGGAACGAAGCAGCCCCACGCGATTCAGAGCCCGCGGGGACGCAGACTGTGGGTCCCGTGCCCTCCGCGGACCCCGGTTTCGGGGCAAAGGCCCCGACTACTTGGGGCGGGCTGCTCTCTCTCTTCCTTGGGGTTCAGATAATGTGGTTCTGATGTCAAACTCGAGAGACCCTAGTCTGCGAGTGCGTGCACGTTCGTTGGGTCGCCTCCAGGAGGAGAGGAATGGGCCATGTGAATTTTGATTAAAACCGCTCTTTGCTCGCCGCCTGATGATCCTCATGATTTGGGGATAGCGTGTGCACCGGGCCAAATGCCTTTCTGTGCTGTTCCTGAGCCCCGGCGTGTGTGTGTGGGGGGGGGGGGGGGGGCAGGGGTGCTGGGGTAGAGTGCTCTGCTTCACAGCCAGGAGCCACCCATCCGCTTTGCAGCTTTGTGAGAGTAACTAAACTTTTTAGAGCGTCAGCGTCGGTATCTGTAAAATGGGGACAATGGCGACAGCTCCCAGAATGGGAAGGTTTAATTTTTGATGCCTGTAAAGTTCAGGTCAAAGTGACTGGTAATATGGCTAGCCCTCAGCACCGATGAGTTCTCACTGATTTATTATTTATGGCTTACCAAGTCCAATCACTGATTCCTCTCACCCGCGCTGCAAGCGATCCTTTGCCGAGTGGTTCTGTGCAGAATCCACACATGGCGACACGTGGCACCCGATCGTTACCACTAACATGAGAACCCGTGGGTGCTAACACGACTGTAAGTGTAACCAGAGCATTGGGACCTGCCGCTTTATTCATATTGAATAGACACGGTGACCAGTGTATCTGAGTCTTGCTGAGACTGAAGAGCCTAGTGGTGCAGCCCAGCAGTTACAACTGCGTGGGCCTCACTCAGCAGGTCATGAGAGGTCTTGGTACTTCAGCTCCTGGATGTTCAAGTTGGCCGTAGCCGAGCCCGAGCCAGTTTGGCTCCGTGGATAGAGCGTCAGCCTACTACTGGCTGAAGCGTTCCGGGTTTGATTCTGGTCAAGGGCAGGGACCTGGTTTGCAGGCTGGATTTCCGGCCCTGGTCAGGGCCTCCTGCAGGTGGCAACCGGTGACTCTCTCCCTTCCACTCTCTCTCAAAATCAATGAAAACATATCCTCGGGTAAAGATGGACAACAACAAAAAGAGGGAAGATGGCGCCAGAGGTGAATGGTGCCGAGGGAGTCACTTCTGAGTATTTGACCATGTGGGACAACGGGCTGTTGGGACTGAGCTGTAATGATATAGCAATAATACTAATAATGAATGCTCACGATTATTTTTATTCATCTTATAATGAGTCTTTACAGATTCGCTTAGTTCCCAGCATTTTATTAAGTACCTTACATGTGACCCAGTTTTAATCCTATGATCAGGCTTAGGCAGCTGACACACAAAAAATGATTTTCTTTTTAAATATACGTTTATTGATTTCAGAGAGGGAGAGAAATATCAAAGATGAGAGAGAATCATTGATCGACTGCCTTCTGCACCCCTCACCCTGGGCATTGAGACCCCACAACCCGGGCGTGTGCTCTTGGCTGGAATCGAACCTGCGTCCCTTCAGTCCATGGGCCAATGCTCTATCCCCTGAGCCAAACCAGCTAGGACTCATCCCCATTTTCTAGGTGGGAACTGTTGAGGCGCAGAGCACTGGGGGGATTTGCCCAGGGTTTCTCACAGTGGTACACGCTGGCCCACGTTGCAGATGGAGTTGGTCTAGAGATGGCACGTGCCACCTGTGTTTGGATCACAGCGCGTTGGCTGAGGAACCCAGCCTTGCCAGCCACAAACCAGTGACTTGTGCCCGCCTGGCTAGAGGCTGGCTGCCTTCCCCGCGTTCCCTCAATCCTAGTGAGACCGAGCGTGCAAACCCCTGCTCATTTCACTCTTCCCAGGGAAAGCACCACGTTGCCATGGTGAACACCTCCCCACACAAAACCACCTCTGTTTAGTTCTAAATCTGAACAAAAGAACCTTCGGAGTCTGGAGTAGGGAACCAGAAAAATCATGAAATCAAGGAAGGGATCCCTCTCCCCTCTTAGCATCTTCTGTAGTGTCCGCGGCCACCACGTGGAGCAGAGCCCCTTGGCCCTTAGTGGGCAGGGCTGTAAGGATGCCCTTAAAAAGTCCCTCAGCATCTTCTCTGGAAATCCGCTGGCTGTGAGACCCATCCCCACTGCTCTCTTTCTGGTCTTCTTGTTTCGAGTCATTTGCATGAAAACGGGTTCCATTATGCAAAGTTGGCCTGCCTGTTCTCTGTCAACATTTGTAGAACTTCTCGTCTTCTTGGTTGGGTTGCCAAGCAGATATGACCCTGGCTTGCAAATAAGCTCCCTGCATTTACCAGCCCGTGAGAACTTGAGCCTGGGCGAATTCCATTGGAAGGAATCTTGCCTGCAGTTCAGAGCAGGGGGCTAGCCTGCTTTTTGCAGGCCGAGTTTTCAGAGCTTCCGGGGAAGAGGGGGAGCATTTGAGGGGACCTTCTGCAGGAGTCCTTGACTGCCTGGAACATCATCTGTTTCCTAAACTTGGTTTTCTGAGAATCCGAGAACCCGTGGGGGCTCAGGCCTGCTGCTGCCACCGTGGTCTTCCCCTGCTTACCCAGAGCTAGGAATACACTAGGACAGTGGTCGGCAAACTTATGAGTCAACAGAGCCAAATACCAACAGAACAACGATTGACATTTCTTTTGAGAGCCAGATTTTTTAAACTTAAAACTGTCTAGGTAGGTGCATTGTTATTAACGTCATTAGGGCACTCGTAAGCTGGCCTTTGCTAAAACAAAAATCAAAAACGCAAGGGGCCAGAGAGCCGCCTGTGGCTCGAGAGCCACAGTGTGCGGACCACTGACCTAGCCAGACCTGCTGCAGAAGACCTCAAAGTGACACAGAATAAACATCAACATTCTCAGAACCAAGTGGTTCCAGTCGCATTGCTTTTAGGAGAAACACATGCCATCTTCAACTTTGATGACGCAGTGGTGGGTCACGGAACCTAACTGGCAAGTCCGGGAAGTGCTGCGCAGGCCCGCTGGGTTTGGCTCCGGGTACAGCCGGGTTTCTTCGGATCCTTTCTGGCGTTGAGCCACCTGTCCTGCTGCTCAAGGCCCCGGGCATGAACACCTGCTCTCCCACTCGGTGTCTGGCCCAAAGGGAGGTGCTGGCTGTTGCCGTCTTGTCGAAACACGCTCTGCCTGCTGTTCCCTGGCACAGTACGTGGTGTGAGGTGTCCATGTTGGTCCCTTTGGGACAGGACATGTTCGCACTTCCGGGTGAGGAGGGGTGACACGGAGAAGTCAGAAGGGAGATCCAGGGGTGTGTTTTGAATAGGAAGCCAAGAGGGACCCTGCCCTGCCATGGTGGGTGGAGCGTTGTGGACTCCTTAGATGAGTCTGATGCTTAGAAAGAGTGTATTGCCTGGCCAGCCAGTGCCGCTCAGTGGTTGAACGTAGGCCTATGAACCATGAGGTCACGGTTCGATTCCCAATGAGCCAGCCTGGGTTGCTGGCTCCATCCCCAGTATGGGGCGTGCAGAAGGCAGCCGATCAATGATTCTCATCATCAATGTTTCTATTTCTCTCTCCCTTTCCCTTCCTCTCTGAAATCAATTAAAAAAAATACTTCTTTAAAAAGGGTGTGTGGCAGGGTGGGGTATAGGAAGCGCCCATCCTTCCGACCCAAGCCCGTTGCTCCTTCTGATCCTCTCCCGGGGCAGTGTCTGCTCAGCATGGCCCCATCAGGAGCTGGCCTGAGGGGCGCAGACACCTCCCAGGCCACAGAACCGCGCCCAGAGGCTGGGGCCCCTCCTCTCAGAGTGTGGACTGTGTAGGTGGGAAGACAGGACGCGCGTGTGATACTTACCCCCAAACAGCATTTCAACAAGGGCACCTCTGCAAGTGAGACTCGCAAACGAAGGGGAACTCGGCAAGGTCACCCGAGGTCTGGGACGTGAGGGGAGGAAGCCCGGCTTTCAAGTCAGGGTGAAGCGGCTGGGCCCTCCTTGTTCCTGTTAGATGCACCGTGGAACCTTGGCTTTCGGTATAATTGGTTCCGGAAGGCTGTTCAAGAAGCAATTTTGTTGGGAAACCGAATCATTGTTTTTTCTCTCTCTCCATTAGAAATATCGGAAGCTGGATTAATGCGGTCAGGACCCTCAAATGCTTCCCTGCTTTCACCTGTCTTATACACAGCACATGTCTAACATACAGTTTAATCTATAAATAAAGGCTTCTTAAATTTAT